CTGTTACTAGTCACCCCCCTGTCACTAGTCACCCCCCACTGTTACTAGTCACCCCCCTGTCACTAGTCACCCCCCTGTCACTAGTCACCCCCCTACTGTCACTAGTCACCCCCCCCACTGAGTCACTAGTAACCCCCTCCCTCACTCACTCTGTCACCCCTTCCCTCCCTTACTCTGTCACTAGTCACCCCCTCCCTCACTCTGTCACTAGTCACCCACTTACTCTAGTGACAGAGGGAGGGATGGGGTGACTATTGACAGAGGGAGGGATGGGGTGACTATTGACAGAGGGAGGGATGGGGTGACACAGTGACAGAGGGAGGGATGGGGTGACACAGTGACAGAGGGATGGGGTGACTAGTGAGAGTGCGGGAGTGGGTGACTAGTGACAGAGGGAAGGATGGGTTGACTAGTGACAGTCACCCCCTCCCTCATTCTGTCACTAGTCACCCCCTCCCTCACTCTGTCACTAGTCACACCCTCCCTCACTCTGTCACTAGAGTGAGGGGATGACTGGTGACAGAGTGAGGGAGGGAGTGGGTGACCAGTGACAGAGGGAGGGAGGTGGTGACTAGTGACAGAGGTGGTGACTGTCACTAGTCACTAGTCACCATCTCCCTCACTCTGTCCCTAGTCACCCCTCCCTCTGTCACTAGTTACCCCTTCCTTCCCTAACTCTGTCACTAGTCACCCCCTCCCTCACTAGTCACACCCTCCCTCACTCTGTCACTAGTCACCCCCTCCCTCACTAGTCACACCCTCCCTCACTCTGTCACTAGTCACACCCTCCCTCACTCTGTCACTAGAGTGAGGGGATGACTGGTGACAGAGTGAGGGAAGGGGTGACTAGTGGCAGAGTGAGGGAAGGAAGGGGTGACTGGTGATAGAGTGAGCGAATGATTGGTGACAGAGTGAGAGAGGGGAACGACTAGTGACAGAGTGAGTTAGGGGGTGACTAGTGACAGGGTAAGGGACGGAGGGGGTGGCTAGTGACAGAAGGAGGTGGTGACTAGTGACATAGTGAGGGAGGTGGTGACTAGGGACAGTCACCACCTCCCTCACTCTGCCACTAGTCACCCCTTCCCTCACTCTGTCACTGTTCACCCCCTCACTCTAGTGACAGAGTGAGGAAGGGGGTGACCAGTGACAGAGGGAGGGGTGACTAGGGACAGAGTGAGGGAGGTGGTGACTAGTGACTTGTGACAGTCACCACCTCCCTCACTCTGTCACCTGTCATCCCCTCACTCTGTCACTAGTCACCCCTTCCTTACTCTGTCACTAGTCACCCACTCCCTCCCTCACTCTCACTAGTCACCCCCTCTCTCACTCTGTCACTAGTCATCACCTTCCTTACTGTCACTAGTCACACACTCCCTCTCTCTGTCACTAGTCACACCCTCCCTCACTCTGTCACTAGAGTGAGGGGGTGACTAGTGACAGAGGGAGGGGGTGACTAGTGACAGAGTAAGGGACGGAGGGGGTGACTAGTGACAGAAGGAGGGAGGGAGGGAGTAGTGACAGAGGGAGGTGGTGACTAGTGACAGAGTGAGGGAGCTGGTGACTAGTGACAGTCACCACCTCCCTCACTCTGTTACTAGTCACGCCTTCCTTCCCTCACTCTGCCACAAGTCACCCCTTCCCTCACTCTGTCACTAGTCACCCCCTCACTCTAGTGACAGAGTGAGGGAGGGTGTGACTAGTAAGAGAGTTAGGGAGGGAAGGGGTAACTAGTGACAGAGGGAGGGGTGACTAGGGACAGAGTGAGGGAGATGGTGACTAGTGACTAGTGACAGTCATCACCTCTGTCACTAGTCACCACCTCCCTCCCTCTGTCACCAGTCATCCCCTTACTCTGTCACTAGTCACCCCTTCCTTCCCTCACTCTGCCACTAGTCACCCCTTCCCTCACTCTGTCACTAGTCACCCCCTCACTCAAATGACAGAGTGAGGGAGGGTGTGACTAGTGACAGAGAGAGGGAGGGTGTGACTAGTGACAGTCACCCCTCCCTCACTCTGTCACTAGTCACCCCCTCCCTCACTCTGTCACTAGTCACCCCTTTCTTCCCTCACTCTGCCACTAGTCACCCCTTCCCTCACTCTGCCACTAGTCACCCCTTCCCTCACTCTAGTGACAGAGTGAGGGAGGGGGTTACTAGTGACAGAGGGAGGGGTGACTAGGGACAGAGTGAGGGAGGTGGTGACAAGTGACAGTCACCACCTCCCTCACTCTGTCACTAGTCACCACCTCCCTCACTCTGTCACCAGTCATCCCCTCACTCTGTCACTAGTCACGCCTTCCTTCCCTCACTCTGCCACTAGTCACCCCATCACTCTAGTGACAGAGTGAGGGAGGGTGTGACTAGTGACAGTTAAGCAGGGAAGGGGTGACTAGTGACAGAGGGAGGGGTGACTAGGGACAGAGTGAGGGAGGTGGTGACTAGTGACAGTCACCACCTCCCTCACTCTATCACTAGTCACCACCTCCCTCCGTCACTGTGTCACCCCCTCCCTCACTCTGTCACCAGTCATCCCCTTACTCTGTCACTAGTCACCCCTCCCTCACTCTGCCACTAGTCACCCCTTCCCTCACTCCCTCACTCTGTCACTAGTCACCCCCTCACTCTAGTGACAGAGAGAGGGAGGGTGTGACTAGTGACAGTGAGTAAGGGTGTGACTAGTGACAGTGAGTAAGGGTGTGACTAGTGACAGAGAGAGGGAGGGTGTGACTAGTGACAGAGTGAGGGAGGGAAGGGGTGACTAGTGAGAGTGAGGGAGTTGGTGATTAGTGACAGAGGGAGGAATGGGGTGACTATCACTGTGTCACCCCCTTCCTCACTCTGTCACTAGTCACCCACTCCCTCCCTCACTCGGTCACTAGTCACCCCTCTCTCACTCTGTCACCAGTCATTCCCTCACTCTGTCACCAGTCATCCCTTCCTTCCCTCACTCTGCCACTAGTCATCCCTTCCCTCACTCTGTCACCAGTCATCCCCTCACTCTATCACCAGTCACCCCTTCCTTCCTTCACAGTGACAGAGTTAGGGAGGGAGTGACTAGTGACAGAGAGAGGGATGGGGTGACTAGTGACAGAGTGTGGAAGAGGGTGACTAGGGACAGAGGGGGTGATTAGTGACAGAGTGAGGGAGGGGGTCTGTCACCAGTCACCCCTTCCCTCCCTCACTCTGCCACTAGTCACCCATTCCCTAACTCTGTCACTAGTCACCCCCTCTCCCTCCCTATGTCACTAGTCACCCCCACTTACTGTGTCTCCCCCTCACTCTGCCACCACTCAACCCCTCCCTCCCTCACTCTGCCACCAGGTACCCCCTCACTCTGCCACCTGTCACAACCTCCCACACTCTTCCACCTGTCACCTTCTCCCTCACACACTGTCACCTGTCACATATGCATTCACACAGACACTGTATACAAAAAAGCACATGTAGTCATCCCGACATGCACAAGTGCATTCACACAGACTCAAATACAAACATGCATTGATACACAGGTCTTCACAATATACACATCCAAAGGAATGCTGTATTATGAGTTATATTTAACATTTATTTAATGCACATATATTTGGCCTTCAAAGGGCCTGGGATCTAATTTTGCCCGGGGGCCCCAAAGGCTCTCAGTCCGCCCCTGGAGGTTACTCTGGGAGACTATAAGCTTTCCTACAGAAATGGGTTTTAAGGCACTTCTTAAACGATTGAAGACTAACGGACAGTGTGATGGCGGTAGGCAGGCTGTTCCATAGGAAGGGAGCCGCCCGTGCGAAGTCCTGCATGCATGAGTTGGCCATACGAGTGCGAGCAGCAGACAGGAGAAGGTCACGGGCAGAGTGGAGAGTCCGAGAAGGGACATACCTATGGAT